GCTGGCATAACTAAGAATCATGGGCTTCCTGTGTTTTTGATGATTCAAAAGAGGGAGAATGGGGACGAGAGAGGGGTGGTTCCTTTCTTGAAACTAGTCCCTAATGGCCAAGATGACCGTTACAAAGGAAGCCTAAAGGAGGAAAAAAGAGTTTCCTGGGGAGGAGACTAGGATGTACTCTATGACCACATGATGCAATTATTCTCTACAGTCCCCCTCCCCCCCCTCAATACACTGTGCAATTGCCCTATTTCATTATGACGTCATAGTATGTTTACATCGGAAAATTATGCTCAAAAACAGTAGAAACTTGGACCCATTTATATTGTCTCCTAAAGTAGAACTTCAATGAATCGCGTTTTGATATATATCATGTATAAATGATTGTTCATGTACATTTTATTTGAAATGCAGTCACTCTGATCCCTTCTGGCGACCATAATCCTTAGCATTAAAACAATAGAATGTTTTGATGTGACGTCATAATGAACTAGGGCATTCCTAAGCAGCTTTTATACTTAACCATTGCAAGTCACATTGTCAAGAACATTGCACCATGYAGCAGCAGGCAGCATGGTTTTTGGTAACTTCAAATCCCTTGTTACCTTATTTATCACTGCTTCTAAAGTAATCACAGGTTCCTTCTTCATTATCAAATCATGTATCACCATGTTGTCCATCCATTCAGCTTTACATTANGCTGAACAAAGTACAGCGTTGCTCAGTTCACCATTAGTCAGTTCTGACACTCAAATAGTGATGACTTCCACAACTGGACTGACGGCTACTCTACCATCAACTGATACACCAGTTCACTCATCAGTAAGTCACTCATCTGTAATTCCATCTTCATTTGCTACAACAGCAGTGCTGACAAGTACTCCAGCAATAACTGGCACAACACCATTACCTACAAGTGCATCAACTGACACAACTAAATTGTCAGCAAGTTTTCCATCATCTGCAATCACAGAAACTGCATTGTTGAACAGTACTGGAATCTCAACAGTTCCTATGGATTCTTCTTCAGTCCCAAGCACCCAAAGCACACTTTTGATAGAAACAAGCACTTCAATTATTGCATCACCTTCAGCAACACATATGTCAAGTGCTACCATGACTAGAACAGTAACGGTAGAGTCATCATCTGTTGTGAAAACTATGGCAACAACATCAACGATGGTGTCTTCATCAGTTGTGGAAACCATGGCAACAACATCAACGATGGTGTCTTCACCAGTTGTGGGTACCATGACAACATCAACAAGTTTGCCTTCATCAGTTGTCCTCACAAGCTCCCCAATAGCGCCAACTGCAACTACAACATCAGCAACAGCATCATCATCTGTTGTTCCGACTACAATTCCTCCAACAACCATTCCTTTAAGACAACGAACATGTAAGGACAATCCATGCAACAGTGGGACATGCCTGGACCAACCAGATTCAATTGGTTTCAATTTCACTTGTATGTGTCCAAAACCAACRTACGGACCACGATGTAGCACAGGTAGGAATGAGAATTATAGGAATATGGTGGCAAATGGTAGTYAGTTGTTGTTTGTTCTGTGATAGCAATGATGAAAATAATGGACCATTGCTGGACCACGTTTTGATATTATAGCTTGAAGTGTTTCCTGTGGCTTTCCCGATGGCTTACAATCATAGAACTGATATACAAATTTAAAACAATTATTCACAAGTCATTGCAAGYTCACTAGACCTTCTGTCTTCATTGCAACGGCACAGCCATCTGCTTTCAAGATGGCACAGAGGATCAAAGGCGATTAATGCAGTGCAGCAATTAATTAAAATTACATTTGTTAAAAAAATGTTTAATGTCTTCTCTTTAGATTTCAAGCTTCACTTCCCTCGCTTTGGCAATGGCTCTTTCCTWGAACACAAGCCAATTGGAGATCTAAAGGACTTCAATAAGATTGTTATAACTTTTAAGACGACTGCWCTTAATGGCTTGCTATTCTATTCAGCTCAGAGTATAGACTTCATTCAGCTTTTTGTCATARATGGTYACCTGGAGTTTAGATTTAACGCTGGAGATGGTTTGGTTGGCATCAGAAGTGAYGTAAMAGTGAATACTGGGAAAATCGTAACAGCTGTTTTGACGTAAGTCAMAAACCTGGAAATAATTACCATTTCTTACACTAGTATACAATGAATCTCATACAAATTTTAGAAGAGAGAGTGTGTGTACTGTTAGATGACATTGTAGTACAATGTAGCAGAGAATTTGATAGGATTATTAATAACTAAAAAAGGATGTTAAAGAATGGAGACTATTTTGACTCCCCTTGTTTGTCCGATGAGTTTCTCAACTATCCCCAATGGAGGTGCCTCGGGGCAAGGGGGTAGTTGTTCATTCTAAGTTTCAATAAATTGACAATTACTAGAAGACAGTAATGACACTTTATCTTCAGTTGAATAGAAATTACATTTTATCAAATATCATTTCCATTATCATGAATGTATTAAAATGTCATTTCTTAATGTTGAATCCACCTTGCTGCCCACAAAATCTGGAATCCACTCATAAAGATCMTTTAGTATGTCATCAASATTTAACTTTATTGTTGAAAGTCAAAACACATACACATTCATTTTGACAGATATGACGGCAGCAAAAAAGAAGGCACACTACAAGTGGACAAAAACGAGCCAAAGAAGCAGCGTTCTAATGGAGTCTTGGTAGGGATTGGACTGAGAAGTAGTGAATTATACATTGGTGGATTAAAACCTGGCAAGAAGATTAATACCAATGCTGGAGGGAAGGATGTGCCTACTTTTGATGGATGYATCAAGGATTTCGAGATGAACAATAAAGAGATCAAGTTTACWGAACCAGGTTGGATGTAGAACTATTATCATGAATGCTAATTCTCCTCTTATAAATGGCTTACCGTATTAGAAAGTTTTTAGTCTCCTTTGCAGCCTATGCTTTACAAACAGCCAGACAAAAGGGTTAGGCTGTGAAGGAGACTAGGAAGTTATATATCATTGAACACGTAGTAACTTCAGATGTTATATATTTTGAATCAGTTGGCACCAAAGCACTTTATTTATAGTTGATTGACAGCAATCTATTGTTAAGTGCAGTTGTAGATTTTTATCTCCATGCCCTACACTTATGGTCAAAGAATCGTTATTTTATGCCTCTTTAGTGGCATAGTTACATTTTGTGAAGTATAGAGAGACAGTAAGGCAAGGCAATGAGTGTTTGAACTTCTCTTTTGACTACAGCTGTCATCATGCTGAGGATTAATGAACCCAGCAGAACTATGTTGTAAAAGATGTCTTCACATGAGTCCATTGTGTGCCAGAAAGGCCATGGACCACTCTATAAAAACATCCACTAAAACTCCTTTTTTCCTATGCCTTTTTGCCTCTGTAAACCATTCTCTTCATGTAAAGTTAACATGAATGTGATCTGTATTTTTGTTTGTTTTTATGATCACAGATGCATTRGATTGGAATAATCTTTATGAATGCGACAAGCCCTGTGAACACCAACCCTGTCAAATCAAAGGAAACTGCACTGACGATCTTGAGGATCCACACGATTACCGCTGCACATGTCCTGACCAATACACTGGCAAGAAGTGTGATGTCCGTAGTGTTTGTAGTGGAGACCCTTGTAAAGGTGGACTTTGTATTGCCAGCTCCAATGAAGAMAGCAAAAAATGCTTGTGTCCTTATGAAAGAGCTGGCATCACTTGTGAAGATGGTAAATATGAATATATTATATATGTCTATTTTGTCAGAATAAATTTGAATCTCCTGTGAAGGGCCCTTGGTAGAGCTGTTTGAGAATGCGTGATTGCACAGGCTTTGTATTGAAGGGAAAAAAACCCAGAGTTTTGGAAAGCTGTCTGCTTAAAATCTCATCTGTCTACGGTTCTGTCTACTGTTCCCTGCACCATCTTGAAAGGTAGCTGTGCCTTTACATCGAAGCGAGACGACCGTTGAGCATGCAATGATAGAAACCTGTAAATCATTGTCTGTAGGTGTGAAAGAAGGTTTCTATCATTGCACGCTCAACGGTCGTCTCGCTTCGATGCAAAGGCACGGCTACCTTTCAAGATGGCGCAGATAACCGTGAAGGAGACTATTAATTAAATCATTTTTATATAATAACTGCCTTGGCTGTCATTGTGGATATTTTGAGCATGAAGTCTATTGCCTCTTTCCCTGTAGTACTGTACGCTTTCTACTGAATGGCAATTACACTAAATTTGTAGCAAGTTTCAAGATGATAAAAGCAGCCGTTTTCAAATTTACAACATTTTTTTTATAATTTCAGATCTCAACATCACAATACCTTGTTTCGCAATGGCTTTTAACTATTCATCCTACATTCAATACCAATCGCCAAAAGACGGAGTGCARTATTTTAGTATATCCCTCCAATTCAGCTTAGACAACACAAGCTCTGCGGCAGTGAACAGTCTTCTTGCATATTCTGGACAAGAAAACTTCAAAACCCAAGGTGATGACTACATAGCTCTTGGCATYGTTAACAATAAAGTAGTATTTCTATATGAGCTTGGAAGTGGCGCTGCAAGAATAACTAGTGATGTTTTGGATGGTAACCTTGAGTGGCACTCCGTGGTCGCAGGACGAAAAGGAAAAGAAGGATTTCTCCATGTTGACAGCCAGCCYACAAAGCGTGGAAGCTCCCCTGGYAACCTTGTTGGATTCAATACWTTTGGYCCTYTAAACATTGGTGGTGTTCCAAACTTAAATGACCTYAATGACATTGAATTTAAGASTGGCTTTCAGGGTTGTATGAGCAACTTGAGGATCAAATTTGGAGAGCAAGCACAATTCATCCAACTGTCAACAACGCAGGCTGGAAGCAGCGAATGGCGGGTCAGATCWGGGAGAAATGTTGGCAACAAGAATTATAATGGTTGTAATAAAAATCCTTGTCAGAATAATGGAACTTGTATAAGCAAAGGAGCCAGTGTTACTTGCAACTGTAATAGTGGCTGGCATGGGACATTTTGTGCAAGTAAAGACATTCCATGCGTTACACATAATCCTTGTGCATCACCGTCAACATGCCGTGAGGTCAACAACAGTGCTGTGTGCGATTGCGCTTTGGGGAAAACTGGAAAGACTTGTTCTGAATGTAAGTTGATCATTTAAAATGAGTTACTGCATGAAAGAATCAGTTTAAGGATTGAAAATTTCACATGGTATTCACAAAACATTTCCAACAATCTTCATTTTTGTCCACAGCACTAGTAATACAGACACCACGTTTCATYGAAAACTCCTATATGTCCTTTGGTCGTGCAAAACAAGCAAGTAAACCCATCTACACCAACACAAGCATCAAGATTACTTTTAATCCAAGCAATGCAAATGGACTGCTTTTTTATGTCACCCATGAGATAACAAGCCAGGAGARAGACTTTTTGTCTATAAGTCTACACAATGGGTAAGTACAGAAAACAGCCCTACTCCTCCCCTGAGAGTAACTACAGGTACTTTCGAATAGTGTCTGACAGCACATTATCATTTGCCAGCTGTGTGGACCATTATGTTTGAAATTTTACTTTACAACCCTCATTACCTTTGAAAAAACATGAAATACTTATATTAATCTTACTAAGCTTGAGAAAAAAGGTGAAAATAAGAAGAAATAGAGTCACTGTACTGTGCAGTACTGATAAAGTTAGAGGATTTTTGAAGACCTGACCTGTGTTTATCCAAGTTCATAAAAAATTATATTAATTCTTTTTCTTCCCAAATAATATCRCACAGAATCTCTGTGTATAATAAGGAATACATTAACTATAGAACATACTTAATTGTCATGTTTGTTTATTCAAGGTTTGTGCATTATCGTTATGACCTTGGCAAAGGCACGGCCAATATGCAAAGTCAAAAAGCCATCTCTCTCAATACTGGACATACAGTYRTTGTMACAAGGAATGCAAAGTCTGGGACTCTGAAAGTTGACAGTGAAGCAGTGATATCAGGACAATCGCCAGGRAATGCTGTTGGATTGRACGTCAAATCTGACTTTTATGTAGGAGGCGTTCCACAGTTATCAAAAGTTAATCCATCAGCTGTTGTGGATAATAAATCCTTGAAGGACTTTGTTGGTTGTGTTACATCAGTAACGGTAAGTTATTTGTACTGCTAAGTTATTATCCTCTATTGTTTCAGAAAGGCATTGTATTTGTGCATATTTAGTTGACCAGAATATCTAAAGTGAAGTGCAGGGTTTTGGCATGACATAAACATTGTACATATTGAGAACACTAAAAAAACACTCACTCACTCCACACTCCGTGCTGACTGCCTCCTGTAGTGTAACTTGTGTAAAAGTAACAGCATGGTTAAGCTTAAAACTTCGTTTCCACTGTCAGACAGTGGACTACTAGTAACTCTGCTCTATACAATTAATATTTATATTAACATGCAAGATATTTACAAAATATTTCTGCCTTTTTCAGATTAATGAAATCTCGTTAGTTCTCACAGAAAAAGGTGCAAAAGCAGGGAGGAATATTCAAAACTGCCCACAGGACTCTAAAAATGCTTAATATTGTAGCTATAAAACTTAAAGTAACTAATTTTTAATTCMTAAAACGTTTAGTTATCATACAAAGAAATAGTTTATTAATCAGAGAGTTATATAATTCAGTTTTAATGACTCATRTGTACAGTTTTCTAAGAATATATTTAGTTGATTTTTACATAATGAAAGAAAGCCATTTAGTGATTGTAAATAATTTTATTRATAATAATTAATAAGCTTTAATAAGACAAAATTGTAAACGATGGAGTTATCGAAACGTTTCTCAGATTACAGTGACAGTGGTTACTACAGGCTCTCTTGAAGAGAATACGGGCTGAGTGACWTGTGTCAATCAACCTCCATCCTTTTTTAGAGAGCCTGTGACTACTTTAGCCTCCCTCGCAGGCTACTCCATCGGAAACAGACTTTTTCTTTTCTTGGTCTTCCTGTATTCATATTCTTGAACGAGAAGAACTGGTGTCCTTCCTTTCTATCCCCCTCCCCCTCCGGCACTTTTTTGTGCCTTAACACAGGAACCCCACGGAGTAGAGTTGCCTGCGAAGATGCTATGACTACTTAATTCAGCGTGAAAAAACTGCCAAGCTATTAAAAAATAGGTTGCAACATAAATACCACTATATACTTTAGCCTCCTAACAGGYGTTCCTCCTCCCYATTCCTTCTCGGCCCTYAGCAGGAACGCCTGTTAGSAGGCTACATGTATATGGGAGAATCTACGTAGMACTCAGTTGATGTAATATATTCATAAAGATATAATACAAAACACATAATACAATAGAACGAGAAACAATGGAATACAATRCATTTTATGAATACATTACATCAACTGCGTGCTACGTAGGTCATCCCACATGTATATACTCTGGTAGATTATGCTAATTCTGCTATTTGCTATTCTTCTTTAGTTGGTACCATTTAATGCAAAGTATTGCATACTTTTAGTGTATGTACTCCTAGTAGTCAACAACCTCATTGTTTTTCTTTTGCAACATTTTTAAAAAAAGGAAAAACAAAGCATTTGATAGTCTCTCATATATAAGGAAGGATCAGTCAGTGTTAATTTTTTACTGTTCATGCTTTTATACTTAACACTACTAATAATTATATATTTAATTTGTAATACTTAATATGTCCTTATTCTAGAAAATTGTGCCACTTATTGGTTCACTTTCTGGTTCAATTACCAAAATTAATGTAAAAATGCATTCAGTCCATGTTAATGTTGAGCACTCTATGCCTTGGAATTGATGAGGAAAAGACTTCTATTTACCATGTAAACTCTTCTTTCTGTGTTTGGTGCAAACATTCATTGTGTTCTTTAAGTGTTTGCAGCCTTCTTTTACATATTATTTATATTTAGTCTATAACCCCTTTGGTGCCAAAGTTTATACTCGAATCTGGTCCAATAATTCTCAAATTTTAATTTAAAAGTAATTTTGTTATTGCTACACAAGGTTGCTTAAAATAATGGAGGTGTATATGTCAGTACACTTGATCAAATACCATCTTCTCTTTAATACTTTATTGAATTAAAGGGGAGAGTTTTGATTTTGATCAGATATGAAAAAAAAAACACCCAAGCTTTTATAATAAGTAAACGCAAAGTTTAATGATGACAAAACTAGTTTGTTGATACAAATTTTCTGAACTGAAATAAAACAATGTTTTATAGCAAAGTGTGTTATGTTTGGTTCTGAATTTATGACACAAGACCAGGCAACTGGTCAAAAATCCMCTGGCTAGACTACACTGTCTAAAATATGTAAAAACATGACAAACTCAAATTCCCTATAAACTTGACCAAAAGATGTGCTTAAAATTGTTGCTCTATAAATCTATATAGTAACTTTTCATGAAAGGTTTGATGAATTTTTTTCTTCTCATTTTTGATTAAAAAACTAGAAGTTCTGTTCAAGTTCACTATACATTCTTTTGAAATAAAACCATTTTTGTTTATAACTAAATGAATATAAATAAATAATGACTGCTGCCAAACCACAAAGCTAGTGAGAATTTATATAACCACACAGACTCATACAAAACAACGGTGGAGATCCTCATTCATTATAATAAACCTAATTCTGAAATACAAAATCATGGTCTAGCTTCAGCATAAAACAATGCCATTTTTGGCAGCATGAAAAAGATGTTTGTACATAATCTAAACCACAATGCAATGCAAACTGCTATGATAATTAGATGTTCATAAAATATATCAGCAAGCTCCTCAGATTTTGCGCAGTTTGAATCAGAAATGACAGCAATTTTTTTTTCTACAATAAACCTACCTAGCATATATATTACTCCCTTTTTTAATTTTCTTTTTTATTTTCTTCAGTACTTTTGACCATTTGTTTYCTTTTCTCTCTAAGTCTACCTCGTCCCACTACTATCAACATCTTTCCAGCTGTGTACAACCACATGACCTTTAAGAAGGGATTAATATTCATTGCTCAATTTCTTTGAAATTGTAATTTTTACTAATAAGTACACCTAATTCCAGACCCCCTCAAGYRTCTTCTKTGTTGTCCAAGCTACCATTCATTATTATTGCTGGTTTTCAACCATTCCCATGAGACCGAYGGCCATGTTGGAGGAATGAACAATAGACACYAATGAGAAATCCTTTGTTGAAGTTCCTCCAAGATGGCCGCTGYGACATAACGAGAAAACCAGCAATATTTGAATAGTTTTATGGTCAATCAGACTAAATATATTAATCAATTAATTAAATCAAAGCTAACAMAACTCACCATCATTATAAAACAGTTAAATATAATTGGACCAGACAGAACAGCTGTGATGAATAATCCCTGGGAGTCAAAGTACTGTTCCTTGGAGAACTTTCTGAAAAAAATATACATTTATATAATTAATACCCAAAGATAAATTTCTTGGTTCAATAACAGTTTTCAATGGTTGGTAGAAAAAAAGATGGACAAAAACTTGGTAAACGTATCCAATATACACCTTTTCAGTTTCATTTGTAGGAATGTGAGCAATGCAAACATTGACATGAATAGCGTCATTTGTCAAATTTAAAAGAATAATTAACATGCTATCGAGGCCTAAGTGCAACTGAAAAGGTGTAGTGAACATGCATTAATGCAATCAGCCCAACATAATAAAAACATCGAAAACACGTGTAATATCACTAGATTTTACAAAGGCAACTTATTGTATTTTGAATACCTCCAGTGTTTTGACCCATGTATATTGAGTTGCTCTGAGCCAAGCACTATACACACTGAAAGAGATTGATAAACAAATCAATCAATCATTTAAGCTTAAGTTAAGCTTAAATCATCTCACTCGACAATAAACCAGTGATCAAATCACTCTATTACAAAAATCAAATCAAATCACTCAATTACAAAAATTATACTTACATAACACAACAAACATTACCGCCTGTACATTACTRTGTTTACGRGTTAATATCACACTGATGAAAGTCAAGAGATGGAAAATTATCAGCCCTGTCAGCCATGTTTCCCGCCAGTTGATCTGAATTTCAAAACACGTTGGAGAAAAAACGCATTAAACTACAAACACTTTGAGCTGAAACTTCAAAAATACCTTTCCTACCGCTTTATAGAAGTCTAAAAATCCTTTTATCTGGTCCTCTGCAATTAAATATAAATTTTCCAGTGCAAAACTAGCATTCATTTTGAAGCTGTGCAAAAAATCGCCGCGTTGTTCCCTAGAAAAACTACCAGGCGTTACTTTCTCATTCGTGGGGAAACTAGGTCTAGTAGAAAAACCGCTGAGCAGTAGTTTTATGAATATTTTATCAATATTTGACRCTTTTCGATTTTAATATATTTTTGTTATTGTTATAATGTTTTAAGTATTGTGGAACACATGTGAAGTTATCGCAGTTTCCACCAATCATTCAAACTGCTTCTTTAGACGCTTCTTTATTTGTTTTTACTGCGAAAATAATCAACCAATCATTGCCACGCAGGAACCTGACAAGAATTGATTGATCTCGTTGCCAGGAGAAAAAGCCTAAAGCGTCCGACCTAAATAAGCGGTTTGGTCTAGAACTATCAACATTAAGGAGTCATAGCTCTTGATCGTTTAAAAAASCTTGACATCTTGAAGAAATCCCGMTTGCAAACGGAGCCATGAGTACTGCCTTGAAGCCAACAAGATGATACTTTCGCTACGATTTTATCTTTTACTTCTTTGTATTTTTGAGATCGTATCTATAAATTCAGGTTTGTACACGAGATTAGATGAATATTGAATTATATTTGTAGAATATAAACCAAAGCTTGGGAACTTTTGCGAATGTTTAAATTTTTCAGACAATTTTTTGTCTTTAGAAGAAAAACTAACGCAAGAAATTTTAGTCTGAAACTGAATATAGCTAGGCTTTTGTATATTTTTCAAACATAGACAGTGTAATTATTGCATTAGYGACACGGGACTTAGATATATGCGATGTTTTTGGTTAACACTAGAAAAATCGGTAATTAAACACTATAATCATTTCAAAAGCTCTCACTTTGAGGACAGTATATTCTCTGCAGTTCGTTTTCCTTGTTTTATTGTTCCTTATATGCTTTGGTAGTAAACAAAGAATTTAGAAAATATTTATTTAATGTGTGTGATTTTTTTTCGGTACACACATTTATATATGACTTATATGATCGCTTTTATGGCTATTTTCGTTGCATTTTTCGTTTCCGTGCGTTTCATCAATTTAAATGCTCCCCAAGGGGCAAAAGTATCACTCATTTTAATAAACAAGACGTCGTGTAATTTATTTTTACATTGTRCAATAAATAAAATTATTTCTCTTCTCATTTCGTTTTGAAATGAATAGTACTTTTTGATTTTTTTCCATTTCATGTATTTGTTTATTGTTAAGTTGCTGTGGAAATTTCATTACTGATCGATGATCGGCTCCCGCAGTTATAAAGACGTAAGAAAAATTTCCTATGAATCCAAGCTCTCTTGGGCTGTTTTTCTTTCTTTCTTTTCTATTTTTCCTTTTTTTTTTCTTTTTCTTGGCAACATACTCAAGTTATATTTATATATTTTTTTATTTCTCATTTCTTTATTTCATCCCATTTTTCATAATTCATTTTTTTAATCGCATGTTTAATACTAAGTTTGTGCAAGCTTATCTTCAATAAATTTTTGTCTTCTTTCTAGACAGAGTGTGTTTGCATTACAATAAGATCTCTGCTGAATAAAAGAACATATACATTTTCATGCTTTCGAGGTTATGGCTGCACAAATAAGATGGAACTGGAGTATTGTATATTTTTATGAACATTTCCATAGCAGTGGGTTTTTTTTTGTATTTATACAGAACAACTAACTAAAGGTTTCCTAAATCGTTTCTGTTTATCTCTCAATTCCCAGTTTTCATATTTTTCTTGCTATTTTCTAGATGAAATTAAGGACAATAAAGTCACCATAACATTGGTTGACATGACAACAAATACTTGGACCAGTAAAAACAAAGAAGCAAATTTCACAAGTGCCATAGCAACTGTTGCCAATGACTACTGCTCCAGCAACTTTGACAAATGTGGATTAAAGTTCTGGAATTCGACAAGGTAGCACATTACATCTTTTTTTATGAAGAAAACTACGTGCAGCTCCTACAGCAAGCTCTWTCAAAGGCCCTTTTTGGGCACTCGAATTTTRCGGAAACCAGTATGAAAGACGCGAAGTCCTTCACCTAAAAGAAAAATTTGAAGGGCTTCACTTCTCGACCCTTTTGTAGACTTCCCACAAAGTTGAACGTCCTTTGGAGTACCCAATCTAAACAAAAAAATTCCCAAAGCGCGAGAAAAATACGAGCGCAGAGTATACTAGAGTCCGAGGGTTTGATAAGATGAACTAGTGAAATGATATGCCTTAAATTGTGAAGTATTTAATAAACAGGCCTATCTTCAAATCTTTTAGGGGATTCAAAGCGTCTSATGTCAAGATTTCTTCWGGCTWTCCCAAMCAAGACGGCCAAAATGTCCAGGTAGAATTTCATGTTGAGCTACCCAGTGGAACRGACATAAGAAAAAACCTCACYACTCTTCTCACAGCGTCAGCTATAAGARCTATTATTGGCTTAAAAGAAAGCACTTTGAGTAGTTTAATTGGAGTTGGGTTGAAGATGAAAGAGAATGGAACATCGAAACCTAAAGTAGACAATAAAATGAATTTCATTATGATTCCTGTCAGTTTTTGTCTTCTTGTCGTTCTTATTGTGCTGGCATTTTGTCTTCAGTATTGTCAGTAAGTATCTTAAAAAAATACAGTAGTGTATGACATTAGGGGCGATCCATTAGACTTTTGAGGGGGGGATGGGAGGGGGGTGGAAGATCTAATTGCTGTAAGAAAGTTTTTTTGGACTTTATGCGCGTGCTTGCAATTTTTCTTTTTTTCCCTTCTTGTTTTTGTAAATTTACAAAAGATTTAGTGGAGATTTTTCAAAATTTTGCCTTACAGGATTTTTTTTTGGCCCTTCGTGCCGTGCAGGAAATTTATTTTCAAAATCTTCCATCCCCCCCATCCCCCCTCAAAAGTCTAATGGATCGCCCCTTGTAAAATTCTCTCAGTTATTCTATACAAAGCCAATAGGAAATGACGGGAGAATTAACGTCAAAATCCAATCAAATAATCTGTTTAGCCGCCAATTGCTGTCTCTAAAAGCCAGCATGTTGAAATGATACTTTCCCCGGTAGTCAACGAGGTTTCCAGCAGGGTCTGAATGGGGTTAACTGACTAACGACAAATGGACAAAATAACTACTGACTAGCGACAAATTTGAACCGTAAATTTGCTGACTATCGACATTAACAAATTTACTGACTGGCGACATTTTCCAATATTCAAAGATGTTAGCTCCCTGAATACAAGCTTTTTTTAATTTTTCAAGCAACTACATTCGAAATTTTCCGCGGAAAAAATAAATTTTGCTTCGGATTGGCTTCTTGAAGTTGTGATGAGCCACGAATTTAAAACTTTGAGGGGCATCCAATTGACCAATCATCAAGACTCGAGGATTCAATTGTTGGCATTAGAAAGAATTCTGTTGGTATAAAGCACCGTTTTAGATGCATTTAAACTTCATGTTTATCAACTTTTTTTAAATAAGAATTTTAACTGACTAGCGACAAATGCTCGAAATTTTAACTGACTACCGACATTGAGACCCCCCCCATTAAGACCCTGTTCCAGGGCTATGGTTTCATTTAGCTGATGCATCATTTTAACTGAATCATTATTTACAGTAAACGTAAGATGGCCGAACTCAAAGCGGCCGAACGACGCCAATATTCCTCTCAAGGAAGACCTGCAAATCCAAGTTCACAAAGTCCGTTCCTTGTCACAACTACTGGAATTCCTCAGGCAGCCGTAAAACCACAAAGAAGAGACGATCTACTATCTACTCAAATTCATCATGAAGACGAAACAAAAAATTATCACTCAAAATCAAAACAAAGCGATTCCGAAACAGAGGCGCAGTCTCCTCGCAGGAGAAAGAAGAAGCGTAAAAGCCATAAAGACGACAATATAGGTAAATCCAACAATGGTCACGTTAAAAAAACCGACGAACTCGATATACACAATCAAAATATCACAAATGGAGATGGAAGCGACCAGGAAAGGCCGACGGCAAAAGAACGGAGGAGCAAGAAGAAACGCAGCGAAAAGAGACATTCACAAGATGAAACTGGATCTGAAAAAGACGTTGTTGCAAAAGAAGCAGCCCAATTAGATAATATATCGTCCAAGCTTCCGTCTCCTAAACATATAGATCAAAGGAGCCAAGGGTTTGAGAGCGACAGCAATGAAGAAAGACAAACAACAAAAGAACGTAAAAGAAGAAAGAAACGGCACAGAGGGAAAGTCGAGTCTCCTGTTTCGCAGGAAAACGATGAGTCAGAAGAAGATACTACTGAGACTGCTGGGCCTGTTGGAACAGTTGAATCTGACGATATACTATCGAGACTTCCACCTCCCAGAAAACTACCACCATTGAGAACGTAACACGACAATGCAATTGTTGATCACAGTCACCCTACGAACGGAGTCTTGAAAAGTCTCTTTACAGCCTGCCCAATGGGCTGGAGACTGGGGAGAGTCCAGCAAAGAGGGCCGA